TTTTTTTTTTTTTTTTTTTTTCATTCAACGAAAATTAGATCCGACCCGATTCGTTGCACAAACAATAGCAATAACTCTTATCTAGCAATTGTACAATACGAGGAAAATTCACTAGCGGCTTATGTATATCTGTACATGTGTGGATTGACACACATATATTCGTCATGGATGCGTATCTTCACAGGGATTAATTGTAAATTATTCCATTCTCTCTTCTCGTAGATCCCTGCACATATGTGTATACACGCTTGAAAACGCTTAGAATAGACTCGAATGCCGTATCCGTGTTAAAAGTCGTCGACGAGCTTCGTCAGACTTTCGCATTTTTTTTTTTTTTATTTCTCATTTACGTGTAATTGTGCTCTTTTTTTCTTTTTTTTTCTTTTCTTTTTTTGAGATCTTTTATCGAGTTCGAAACAGAAAAATGAGAAAAAATTTTTTTAAAATATTTATGCCCGTTGTGATTGCAAAAATTAAAATTACATCTGTAATAATATCAATTGATTTAATAAATAGAAAAAAAATTGATAATACTAACAATATGATGATAATATTCAAACAAAATTGTAAATTGTTACGTATTTTCTTGATCTGTAAAACCTTTAATTTTACACGATATAATTAATTCTCAAAACTAAAATTTTATTATCCATTATCGAAATTGAGATTACGCACTTTATATACTGTTCAAGATATTAATAATAAAATCATAATTCAGAATCATTTCAACAATTAAACCAGTCGTAAAAGAAGAAATATACAAACGATAAAAATAACATAATAAAAAGATCAACTCCATCAAGCCGTTTAAAACCTCAAAACGTCAAAGCGCGAAGTACACTAGAACTAATCTTCTAATTATTAAATTGATGAAAAATAAATGGCTGAATAAATTATATCGTAAAGATAATTACCTTTACTATTTTTAACATCGATTATTTTTTAATCATAAGAGAGAAACTTTGTAAAATGTTACTTACGATAAAAATTTTTTTATATTTCTCTCCTTCCTCTTCGTTTCTGTTCTCAATCAAGAACGATGAATAATTTTTCCATTTTTTTTTTTTTTAAATTAACCATTCCAAATTTCCCAACGATCTAAAATCTCGAACAATATATCAAGTCGATCGTTCCAAAATTTCACGTTTCAAAAGATCATAATTATAAATAAATAAAACAAGAAAACAAAATGGATTCCATTGCAAGCTCGCGCCATTCGTCTTCTTTCGTGAGGCGAACAAAATGAATAAAAACCAATAAGGCGAAATATCTTGTTGCAGGATCATCCATTCACGCATGTCCCGTCCCCTCGCTATCAAAACATCCCCTCTCCCCCCATACGTATACGCGTTCCGATATCGTGG